CGTTTCGTACGATGTTTTTGCCATCAATGGGCCAATAGTGCTGTCGAATGGTATACAGAGTTGAATTGATTCTAAGATGATAACCGTCCAAATGAGCGTTCCGAATAATCAAATCGACGACGTGATGATTCTTCGGTAAGAGTATCGGATGTCTTTCTTCAAAGGGTATCATTGAATTCTGTAGGCGACCTCCGACCCGAAGTATGCCCCTTTCATCGAGAAAAGGATGCAATGGTAAAAGTTTACTCGATGATTGTAATCCGGATTCGTTTTCTAAGTCTTTTATTTCCTGTGGGAAAGAGGAGGATTGGACCATTTTAATGATTCGCTCGATTAGGTTGCGAATCTCTTCGACCGATAGTGATCCCTTATGTTTAGGTGTCGCGCGAAATCTTAAACAATATGCCACTATTCTCCGAAGTTTTTTAATGCACGAGTACCTGTTTAAGATCTGATCATCTCGATTAACGGCGGTTGCGAAGCACGCGAGCGGTCGCGCTTCCAGAGTTTCAGGTGTTATCGTGAATTTAGACTCTGGCCAGGTCGATTCGTCACTGACGAGTCCATGAGGCCAAATGGAGTTTGCGAGGAACTGCGACGGCGATTGTCCTCTTGAAATCAGGTCGGCTGGATTATCGGCTGATTTAATGTGTTTCCAGGCGTTGATGTCGATTTTCGAATGTACCTCCGTGACGCGATCCGCTACGAAAGTTTTCAATGTCGAAGGTTCCTTATTAATTCAGTTTAAAACAATTGTAGAATCTGTCCAAAATGTACTCTTATTGAAATTCCGTGATGTCGCTTTCGTAACCATGTTGTACAAAGAGGCGAGGAGTACAGCTCCACATAATTCCAATCGAGCAAGACTGACTGTTTTTAGTGGTGCAATTCGCGATTTTGCACACAGTAAATTCTGTCTTAATATTTCCGGATTTGGTAACCGTACGTACGTAAATGCAGGCGCCATAGGCTCGCTCGCTCGCTCGCGTCGCAAAAGCCATGAAGCTCAGTCTTACTAACTGCGTGTTGTGAAACCTTTCGATCGAAAGAACAATTGTTTAATAAGTTAAATTCAGTAGTCCATTCTGTATGAAGATTGGCTGGTGTCGCTTCATCCCAGTCCAATTGCAGTTGCCACAAATGTTGTATTAAAATTTTTGCCTTGATAATGACTGGCGCAAGTAAACTTAACGGATCGAAGATTTTTGCAATCGATGACAAAATTGTTCGCTTCATTACCCTATTTGTTACTATCGGATCGATTGTGTATAGGATTTTATCGCTGTGCGCATCCCAGATTATACCAAGTGTCTTGAGAGTGGAATCTCCTAAGAACTCTTGACTGATCTGTGCTTCGTTGAATCCGGAGAGAAGTTGTGGCTCGTTCGAAGCCCATTGACGAATATTTAATCCTCCACGTTTGAGGATATCGATGATTCCATCTCGTAATTGAATAGCCTCTTTGTAGGTGTCTGCGCCCGTGAGCAGGTCATCAACGTAAAGGTCGTGTTTTATTACCCATGCCGCCGCTGGATTCCTGTTCCCCTCGTCGTCCGCGATTTGGTGAAGACATCGAATCGCGAGGTACCGTGCAGATGTCAATCCGAAAGTGACCGTGTTCAATTTGTCTTGATCTTGCCGTCATCGTTGCGCCACAAAATCCGTTGATACCGACGATCTTCGGGTTGTACAAGAAACTGCCGGTACATTTTTTCTATGTCTATTACTAATAAAACAATGTTATCCTGTATAGTAGGTCCAATCATCAAAGTGTCATTGAATGATAGGCCGCTACTCGTTTTGGCCGACCCTTCGAAAACGACGCGGACCTTCGAAGTTACGCTCGAAGGTTTTATTACCGCGTGGTGGGGCAGGTAGAAACCGTCTTGTTCATTCGGCTGAACTTCGCTCATGTGACCAAGATCTCGATATTCTTGAATAACAATGGTGTATTCGCATTTTAATTCCGGTTTACGATTGAATTTCCTTTCTAACGAGAGATATCGGTTCAGGGCGCGCGAACGAGATTCGCCCAATTGCGTATGTTTCTCGTTAAAGGGTAATGCTACTATGCACGTTTGTTCTTCGGCAGACAGGTATCGTACCTGAGGACCTTCTTCTAATTCTCAGAATTTCTTCAGGTCGAAATTTGGAATAGCGAGGAAGACCTTATGCCTTGCCATTAAAGTAGATAGACTTCCCTCGATAATGTCTTCTGGAATATCAAATTGGTTTTATTAGATGGAGTGACATCTATTTGACCGTCGCACAGTGGGACAAAACACAGGTGGGACGATTTTCGTGAATTCGAGAATTAAAAAACTATTTGCGTACATCGATAGAGAATAAACTGTAGTTTAATGTTGTGTAAATCCGTTTTTTCATATTTGCTTCCGTTTTGCCGTGGTCCACACTCAAAGTCAGTAGAAATTCGTCAGAACGAAACGCTGATGTTATTACCCATAACTTCAATGTACGATTCTAATGAATTTTAGAATATGAATTTTCTAAGGAAGTACATTTAACTAAAATCTCAACTTTGCGTTTGATTTAAAAAAAATGTCGGCACTTGCCGAATATTTAATTATTACTACAGGAAAGAGTGAACCTTCCTCTATCAGAATCTGAAAAAATTGGGTGCACGTTTTTGCACTTTTTGAAGAAAATGGCGATTGAATGAAATTACACTCATCTTGGCCGCTGCGCACGATGATGGTAGAAAAACAGTACCAGATACGATTATTAACCAGTTAACTGTATTCCACATGTATATTCGTCATCCAAAACTTTATTTCGTCCTTGCAATATGCTATAATAAATTTTCATAATTGTTGAAACTGTTTTCACGAATGATTTGGTATAGATCATAATAAATATAAATAAATATATTATTATAACACATGTCTTGTCATTTTTTAATTATTAAATCCGTTTCTCTTATAGTTATTAACAGTTTTGAGTCAAATTTTTGTTAAATGACATAAAATATGTCTAACAAGTGAAGGATATTAAACGTGTCACACTTTATATGTGAATATTTTGACACCGTGTAGTTCAATATGATTTATATTGGTACAACTTAAGTACCATAATATAGGCAAACTCTTCCCAAAATTTCATTAAAATATTTCCAATAGAACCGAAGTTACAGATTTTTGATCGCCGTAAACCGTTTTGTCCCACTGTGCGACGCTCAAACACGCTAAGGCCGTACCGATGCCTAAACGCATGTCGACGGATGTTGGTCGGTGAAAGTGTGAATCGGCTAAATTGATATTCGCGGAAATCAGAATTTTACAGCAGCGATCAATTTGCTGATCTGGTATCGGTCTTGAGATTCGCGGTATCGTGATGAATGTCAGAGTTCTCTTGAAGTTTGATAATCGGAATTTTATGCTGGTCGAAAACATCTGTGTAATTATTGTGCTTAATTGATTTAAAGCTTCTACTGTCGTTGTATGTTGTTTCACCGGTAGTCTTAATTTCGATGCTAGATCTTCCGTGATGAAATTTGCATTTGAACATGTATCGATGAACATCCTATATTCGATCGGTTTTTGATCGCGATCCATAACGTGAACGTTGGTGACTAACGTAGCGCCGTGTTCAAAACGCGAATCCGGTAAATTCCTTGCTCAGATTTTCGCTCCCGTAGTCGTTTACGTGTCCTGATGCAGCTTCGTGTTATGCGCTTGATTGCAGACGCGACAATTCCCGAAGTTACAATTTTCCGTCGGATGATCGTATTACACAATCTCTTCACCAGACACATGACGCCTCGATGAAAATCAGTTACGGTATAGCTGGGTCGATATTACGACTATAATAAAAATTATTCAGATCAGGTGGCATTGCGACGACAACTAAATGATAGAAAATTAATTCCATTGTAAGGATTACATTACATACAGCATACAAAACATTACATACGGCATACATATAGGGCAAGAGTGACGAACTTCTCCGCCGCCGACCACATAAGTTGCTCTCCGATTTTACCGATTTCCCCATTACGAAAATTAGTTCTCAATAACGTATACAGGGTGTCCCAGAACTGGGTCGCTAAGGTGATTCTAAACAACTTTTTCCTTTGCCAAAATGTTGGTTAAAGCTTTGTTTTCATATTATTAACGAAAAACACTGACCAATCCGAGCGCGTATAGAGCGCGGGTTCAAGGACGGCAGTGTCGGCTGCGACAACCGGGCCTGACGTAGGTCGCAAACGATCGGCTCGGCCACAGTGGGGCAAAAAACTTACCTATGGACAAATCAATTTTTAGGCTACACTTTTCATTCGACTTGGACACTTTTTTTTCCAGTGGAAGCTAATTAAATTTCGAAGAAATTTGTGAGAGTAGATTTTTGAAATAAGTTTTTAAAATTTTGTTATTTAGCAAGAAAATTGAAAAAATTTTTTTTAACTTTTTCTAAACACGACTTTTAACAAGATTCTCGGATTTCTTTTTTAAAAAGGTTTATTGTTAGCGTGAAAAACTGTTTAGTAACAATTTTCAGTGGTTTAGAATAAATAAAAAAATTGGTTTTTATGTTATAAACGAATTAATGAACCGCATCCATTTTCAGACCCTCCAAATCTATAGGTTTGCTATAAAATGTTCCAGAAATTATCATTTGATTAAGATTAGTTAAAGATTGACAATAGCATACAATAATTTTTATAAACAAATGCACAGTTTATCTATTTTTCCATGTATAGGATCAATTTTTTTTCAAAACTAACTATGGATATCTTGCTTATGACGATTTATCTTGTATTTTATTAATGCACAACTTTGCTTACCTTAATTCTGTTGGCTTACGAAGGATCCAGAAGCAAGGCATTTAAAGAAGTACATGAGTTGCTTAATTATTTAAAAGAAAAGTATAGTTTATCCGAAACGTTGCAAGAGTTAGTACGAAAGAAACTAACTCAATATTTTATACCTACATTTAATAAGAGATTAAAGGCTTCTTTTTCTATTAAAGACAAGTTTTTACAGAATAATAAATCTTGGTTGGATGCTGAATTTTCCGTTTCTGAAACATTCACTTCACAGTCTCGAAAATCAAAAAGTTTTGAACAATATTCAGAAAAAACAAAAAAGAGAAGAATTGAAGCATTAAAACAGTCGGTATCTGAAAATGACGTTGATTTATTTCTAAATTTTCAAACAGTGGACAAGAACGTTCTGGCTAACATCATTAAAAAGGGTGTATCAAATAAGGACGCTATAGATATGGAATCTACTACAACCCAGGACACATAAATCTCCGATACCGTTTACTGATGACGAAGCACTTGCCCTGTATATGGATTTGAAATTAACTAAAAATAAGTACGAGCTTCTAAAGAAACTTTTAAAGAACAAAAATGCTGATATCCTTCCAAGTTACAAGCATATTACAAATGCTAAAAAGAAGTGTTATCCTCCTAGTTCATCTATAGAAATTAATGAAACAGGTGCTACTATCCAACTACAACAACTTCTTGACCATACTGCAAAGAGATTGTTAAAGGTTGAGACTGTTGTACTATCTGAAAATGCTAACAACTTGAAACTGACATTAAAGTACGGTTGTGATGGCACATCTGGATTGAACCCGTACCAATATAAATCGGAAAATTATACAAATTCTGTTTCCAGTCTTTTCTTGGTATCAATGGTTCCTCTTCGCCTGCAGGATATACACGATTCTCCGTCTACATTAATCTGGCAGAATCCTCGACCTTCTTCGCCTAATTCTTGTCTCCCGATATTATTCCATTATGCAACAGAGAAGAAAGATAAGATTCTTACTGAGCTTCAAAACATTAAATTGCAAATAAAAAGATTGAAATCAAGCACCATAGAAGTGAATGGAAGAACTTACAAAGTGGAGCATGATTTGATTTGTACGATGATAGATGGAAAAGTATGCCAAGTTGTCACCAAAACTTCTGCTTCTTCCAACTGCACCGTTTGTGGAGCAACACCTAAGGAAATGAATCATTAGCCACAATAAGAAGAAGAGAAGAAAATGTGGATTCATTCCAGTACGGACTTCAGACGTTACATGCGTGGATTCGATTTATGGAATGTGTTCTCCATATTGCTTATCGTTTGCCATTCAAGGTATGGGCATGTAAATCTGACGAACAAAAAAGAATCCACCATGAAAGAAAAGTGTATGTTCGAAATGAAATTCGTAATCGGTTTGGCTTAATTGTAGATACTACAAGACAAGGAAGTGGCTCTTCAAACGATGGAAACACGTCCAGAAAGTTCTTTGAGAATTATGAAATAATATCAGAAATTACGGGTATAAACAAACCTCTATATCATTTTGCAAGTGCTAGCATGTGGGAAAGCGATTCACGGTGAACGCTTTCATAAACATAGTACCGACACTGCAGAACTGTTTGTAAATGAATATGGTTGGTACTTCATGCCATCATCAATGCACAAAATTATAATTCATGGAGCAAAAATTATTGATTCCTTTGATATACCAATTGGGCAGTTATCAGAAGAAGCTCAAGGGGCGAAAAATAAAGATTTAAAGCGATTTCGGGAAAATAATACGAGGAAATCATCTCCAACCAAATTGAATGAAGACTTGTCGAACCTTTTGCTGTGTTCTACTGATCCTTATTTGGGAAGTCTGAGGCATCAGTTCCAAAAAACTGAAAGACCATTGTTTCCAGAAGCAAATGCCTTGCTTCTGGATCCTTCGTAAGCCAACAGAATTAAGGTAAGCGAAGTTGTGCATCAATAAAATACAAGATAAATCGTCATAAGCAAGATATCCATAGTTAGTTCTGAAAAAAACATTGATCCTATACATGGAAAAATAGACAAACTGTGCATTTGTTTATAAAAATTATTGTATGCTATTGTCAGTCTTTAACTAATCTTAATCAAATGATAATTTCTGGAACATTTTATAGCAAACCTATAGATTTGGAGGGTCTGAAAATGGATGCGGTTCATTAATTCGTTTATAACATTAAAATCAATTTTTTTATTTATTTTAAACCACTTAAAAACTGTTACTAAACAGTTTTTCACGCTAACAATAAACCTTTTTAAAAAAGAAATCCGAGAATCTTGTTAAAAGTCGTGATTAGAAAACGGCACCCCGTTGGCATAGCACAATAAAAAAATTGAACTGGTTGAACATTTTTAGTCGTTGTTTAAAATTAATACGGAACCTAATCTCTTGTCGCCTGTCATAATGTAAAAAAGGAAATTCTAAGCATTCTAAACATCAAATAAAAATGATTAAAATGGAATAATTAATAAACGTTTGAATTGGAGGCTACATTAATGATGAAAAATTTGAAAACAATTTAAATGAAACTTATCCATTCGTTCCTAAATTAACCTGCTACGCTGAAAGCAGATAATTGCCACTGGGTCACTGTGTCGGTCCCAACCATTCGACGAGGAAACACGTTCGATAGAACAGCTGAATTCATGGTCGGGCCAGTGAACTCACCCCATTTATTGCACTTAGGTATGAATTGTTACGTATCCGTCTCGGAAATTTCCTTATATGGTGTTACAAACCCTTCTCAAAAAATTTCCTTATATGGAATCGGATGCGTGCACCCGACACCAACCGTCTTCTAGAAAATTCGAGACCAACGCAAAGCAAGGGCGCGGTCCTACGGGTCACGTAGAGTCAGTCCCCACCACTCTTTTTACTCTAATTTTTGAGTATAAAAAGGGTAGCGACAAGGGCACCTCGGGTCTAGTTGAAGTCTAGAATCAGTTCGTTACACGTCAGTACGTTCTTTTACGAATAATCTCTGCAACGAGGAAACTCTGCGAGATCGGGTATTCAAGTCCCTTTCAAGCACTCACAGTAACTATACAGTACGTTTTCTGCTGTTAAGCATAATTTTAATCGTTGTAGTCCGCCCCCGTTTGCTCGCGTTCATGAGCCGAGAAGGATTAGATTCTTGCTTCGCGGAATCGAAACTAATTTGTATTTATTCAAATCATTTAAAAACTTGCAACCTAGAGTTTAATTCATTGAACACCGCGACAATTACACACAACAATTGTAAGGTCCCGGAATAGAGAATAAACTCATATTATTTTAACTTACATACTATTGTTCTATTATATTTACTATCCAGAAACCCACTAAGGTGTACCTTTACCGCTTGAGGTACATCAATCAAGATACGAGACCTAATACTAACGTTTCCTGCGGCTCCCTACGTTAGCCATACGTAGGTTCGTCCGCATATCACACTCCTGAAGCTTCTTACGTTAGCCATACGTAGGTTTGTCCTCCACTTTTCACCTTTCCTGTGGCTCCCTACGTTAGCCATACGTAGGTTCGTCTCCACGTCTACTTCCTTAGGCTCCCAGTGTTAATAACAACACTGGTCAAGCCATTAACAAATACCATATACCGAAATTAAGCCCCGGCTACGCAGCCGCCCCCTCCGGCTCGTAACAGAATGATTGTTGAAGCGAAAAACTCGGCCCCACAAGGGGCCGCAAAATAGGAATCCGACAAAGTGATAATTGATGTAGTCGACATGGACGGAGTTCTCCTGATCCGCTGCGAATTAAGAAAGAAAGGGCACGGGCAGCATATAGCCCGTGGGCTGCCAGTTCGTCACCCTTGGTGTGGTGTAAACGATAGGGTAGTTGACTAGTTGTTAGTATAGAAATGTGCAAATGTTTCCTCCTAGAAGGATTAATACTACATATTATATAGAATAGATCACGTAAAATAAATACAAAGTATCGCTAGAGCCGCAGTGGAAAGAGGAAGACATCACGTCGTTCCGCGTTTTCCTGAACCCCCACGTACTCGCGCCATAGCTCGAGTATGTCAAGCTAACATAAGTTTTATAGTGGGAGTTCCTCTCGAAGAGGAACATTTGCCCATGAACATCAATTGGGGATATCTCAAACTTACAAGGAAGGTCTCAAACGGCCAGACTCTGATTTTGATGAAACCTTAGAGGTCTCAAAAATAGCCAAAAGTAATAGATACGTATTTTTTCTTAAAATTGGCTACTGTAACTCAGCTTTAAGGGATGAAGTCTAACTCCAAAATTTGGTCCCTTAAAAGCTAATTTAGTAACTGTTAGAGATAGAAAGAAACTTTCTTAACAAAAATTCAATAATTTTTGTGAACATGTAGAAAAGCTACTCCTCCTCCGATTTCGATGATTTTTGAATATGTTGTAAAATTCAACATTTTAAACAACTTTTTTTCTCTAAGTTACATGTCGGACTCGATTAGTTTGCGAACTATTCGCGAAAAACTATGAGCACTACTACATTGAATTTCGCCTGTACACTGAGTTGCATTGAACTTGTCGCAGTGAAGTTGGCTACAAATTCACTAACACATTCACGCCGCGTCGGTGAGTCTATCTCGCCCATCGTCTCGCCCATCGTCTCACCGACGCGGCGTGAATGTGTTAGTGAATTTGTAGCCAACTTCACTGCGACAAGTTCAATGCAACTCAGGGTACATATACCGCCGCTGTGTATGCGTAGCCAAGCGACCCTCGTTTATCTACTGTTTCTATTAACAGTACCACATGGGCCGGCTACCGTCCATATAACGGGTCAGCTTAAAATCAAAGTGAACTACTAATTTCAATAATATTGACATTGAAATTGCGTGGACGACCGTCTAAAGGCGGCCGAAATATTAATATAACCTAACCTAACCTAATCTAGACATAGAAGTAACGAAAAAAATTATATTCCATCAACATTGATATTAATCATTGTGCCTGACAAGATTGTCTGCCGTCCGTATTAATGTTGACGGCATTTTATTTTTTCTGTTATTTATACGATCAGGTTAGGTCTTGAATATATACCAAATTCAGTGGTATGCATGTGATTACGTGAATGGCAACAAGACAGTAAGTTGCTGTTCGCATCTGATTGCAATAATTTATTTATCTCTAGGGTGTTTTAAGTGAACCTGTAAAACCATCCGAGATATTGACCCAAATATTCGATGTAATAGACACAGAAGCAGTTATCGATAAAAATAGCGATGTACAGGATTGCCTCGTAATAAGCAACACGCTCGGGTCTGGCCCGTTGCTTATTACGGATCAGATAGGCTATTTGGCTCGACTTTGTTCTCGAAACGGGACGATAGAGAACACGAGAAACAAGTGACAGATCAGAGGTAGCGGCAAATCATAAAGTGATCAGCCGGGCAAGGATGTTATTTTTTGAACAAAGATAGAATATAGCATGCCCTCTCATTCTCGCACTATGTTTTATTTCGA